CGGCGCATGCATGTTCGCAAGCATCATGTCTTCGCAGTTCCGCAGCCTTACTTGCTTGATTTGTCCTTGCTGTGTGTTCATTTGCCATGCAGTTGTCAGCCGAGTTTGTGAATAACCTGGTGGCGGTACTCAATGTCCTTGCATCCCAAGTTGCGACAGCTCTGGACACCCTGAACTTTGCCCTGATGACCGAGCGAAGCCATCCGTCAGACACTAGAGTGTCTCCCAGGGCACCACGGAACTCCAGGCACGGGCTGCGCCCTCGCATCATCACAGAGCGCATTTCGTCTGACCGATCCCGCTCTCCCACTCGAATTCGAACCCGACCTTTGGACACTTCATCCACCTGGTATATACCGGCCTTATCCCCGCCTCGTGCGGCACATCGGGATGCCGCTGACAACAATTCTGGTCGTCGGCCTGAATCGATGTTGGATCACCTGCCACCACCACGGCCGCTTGCTCCCTTAGCCCCACACGGCGGACGAGAACCGGGACAGATGACGCCTACGACACCTGACTCGGATTCTGATGGTTCAGTGCGTCCACATCCAGGTGCCTCGTCGTTCCGACCGTCTCCTACGGTGGTTCATGGACCTCGGGAACTTCTACAAGAATTCACCATTGCACTTCGCAATGCACACCGTGAACCTTTCACGGCATGGACACAGGGTGAGCTGGATGAGATGGTGCGACGGAAGAAAGACAAGGATTCCAGGCCCACCTACAAAACCATTGCTCGGTTCCTTCAGAAGCCCATTGAGGAAGTCAAGCAGGCATGGAAGGTCTATCAGCAACTTGAGGCTCGCGGCTAGGAACCCGGTCATCAAATGCAACAGCGACCACAGGAGGACTAAATGGTAGGCCGTGGCGGTGTATTCGGTTAGCGCTGCAGGTTGTTGCGACGGTTGGGATTGCAGTCATTACTGATCACATGAAATTTGCTTGCTTGCGCTTGACTGGCATTTTACCAGGGTAATATTGCTTGCCGTTGTGGGTGTTGCCGCTGACGTGAATTGAATGCATGACTGAGTTGCTCAAATCATGTCGGAACAAGTCGTACAGACGTACATTACTTGGACCCATGGAGCGCAGCCGACGTGGTTACAGTTTCGCGGACCTGGTGCCCTGCTTGACAGACCCATTCGGCAGACTACGTCACCTCCGCCCCCACCAAGTTTCCCACTGCTTCTTCCACCTCCGCCTCCTCCACCGCCACCACCACCGGTGATTCTACACCCACAGTTTATGCCCTCAGTACGGAGCCCCTCGATCTCAGCTCCTCGCGGACAATCCTGCCCCGCCACATCGAAATCGCAGCGCACACGCCGCTCGATCTACAGCACTGACAATTCCCGTGATGAAGAGCTACGCAGTCCAGGGCGTTCATCCAAACGATCTCGGACAGCATCCGCTTCTGCACCGCGGAGATCTCGGCGGCCCTTTACCGTGTTCCCCTCCAAACGTGCTGACCGTCCATCGCTGTCCCCATCGGCAAATTGCAAGCATTACTGTCATGCCTTCCTGCGCCATGGGCGGAAATGTCTTTCCCCTTGTGCTCGTAGACGACCAGGACATTATCATTGCAGGTGTGCGCGGCATCAACGGCGGTGAAGCTTAGGCGTCGTATAAGTCGTATATTACAAACCTCGCTGCTGTGTCTCACCTTGAGTTTGAAAAGTTGCCTTGCATTGCTTTGGTTGACACTTCAGCTGCGCGCGGTTGTCATTGCATGTGTGTCTTCGCCGCAGATTTTCGATTGCTTTTAGCGGCCGCGCGATAGCCTGTCTTGCCGCTATGAACCCTCAATATTTCGAGTACCAGATCGAGAGAGGAGTGGAATGGATTCGAATTTACTCACCGGGCACGTGGCGACCCGTTCCCGATGATGCTCCAGTGCTCGCCCCGGTCTACGCTTACGCTTCCACGTATCGGGAGTGGCGCAGGTCATATCGCTTCCAAGTGTACTGGTCCGAAGACAGCACCGGAGGAACAACAGCGGATCCCATTGTCACGCCCAGTTCGTATGTGTCCTACCACGTGTGGGAGTACCGAGACTGGCAAACACGAGGGTATCAACGACTTGGAGCTCCTTTACCAGCCATTGGACTCGCGATGCTCGTGAATGCAGACGCCAATTCCTCGGTGGACTCATCGGTTCCGGATGGGGCGTGGCGAGAGCCGTCACCACCACCATTCTATGATCCTTGGAACGATTCGGAGTGATACTTGAGCAACATGTCGGATAAAATGACGCGGTTGTGCTTGCTTTGTGTGCGATTCCATGTTGAGTTGTCTTGCTTGGTGTTGTGCGTTCCGTCTCCAGTTGTTCGCCGCTTTCATTTGACTCTGAGCGGTTTGCCTGGTTGATATGTTCAATTGTACAATGTATAGCGCAGCACGATGGGTCCTGCCTCGCTACTTTGACTACGACATCGTCAATGGCCCCGCGAATACGAGTGTAGAATGGATTCGGATCTATGTACCGGGTCCGTGGCATCCAGTCGCCGAGAACACCTTGGGACCAGCCCCGGATGACTCAACCACCTATCGGGAATGGCGCAAGGTTTACCACTTCGAATTGTATTAGCCGAGGGATAGCACAGGCGCACCAATACTTATGCATCCTTCTATACTTGGCATTATAGAGACTGGGTCACCAGGGGATACCAACGGCTGGGTCGCCCACACCCTAGCATTGCGCGGCCAGTTTTCGCTTCGGGCGCACCGGACCTCATGTACGCTGGATTGACCTCTTCATCGGCATCCTCCAACTCGGATGGTGGCTGATGCTCGTCCTCGCCTTCCTGGGGAGTCTGTTCAGTTCAATTCGATTCGGGAGATTGACTTCGATACCGGAGCCGTGCATTGCTGCAAAAGTGATTTCTTGCACTGTGGTAGTTGTGTCTCTTTCAGTAATTGTTGTCTGCAGCCGTACACTATCAATTTGTCTTTCCGGGTTTGCGTTGTCATGCCGTGGCTGGAATGGTGTCCGGATCCTCAACAACCAGATGCCCAGTGGGTCAAGATCTTTCATCCGGGATCATGGACTCCACATGAAGAACATGATGCTCCACCTCCACCGCACACGTATAGAGAGTGGAGGGAGTTCTATGCTCCCAACCCGGACCAAGACGGTGAGCAGCTCGATGTCACCATGTGGTACAAAAGAGACTGGGCCACAGAGGGCTATCGGAGAGTCGCTGCCCCTCAAGCTAGTCATGACTTTGATTCTATGTCTTTTCCTGATCATCACAGCGTGGCCACGCAATCCGCGGCATTGAGTATGTCACCGCAGATGTTAGAAGCGATCCTTAGATCCTCGGATGCGGCGGATTTCTCTACCGAAGAACTGACTCGTCTCCAAGAGGGGATTTCTCAACAACTGACAGCTCGCGCACGTCACGCTTCCCAACTTCATCAACCTGTACGTGCATCACGTGGAATCACACCATCGGAGACTGTTGGGGTCTCCGACCCATACCGGCCTGTTAATCCTCCCGACAGCTGCAAAGCCAAGGCGAGACCTATCTTCGAGCTAAATGAGGACTAGACGCACGCGAGTGGGGTAGCATACAAAATAAGGGTGGTTTCCACACTTGCATTACCTTGCTTGGTTGTTGCTTGTACATGGTTGTGCATGGTGCCTGTTCCTCTATCAGCTGGATCGGAGCCCGCGATACGCCTTGCCTCTTACTTCGACATGGACATCGAGGATTCGAAGCAGCACCCATGGCTCGAATACTCGGTCTGGCAGGATCAGGAGTGGGTGCGGATCTACACTGCAGGACAGCCTCAGCGATGGCACCACGGAGAAACTGTACCTGATCTACCAGACAATTCTTTTCGGGAATGGCAGCGGGTGACTGATCCCAATGGGCGCACTGGTGAGCACGGTCAGGCATGGACCATCCGCGACTGGCAGCATCAGGGATACCAGCGCATTCTGTCTCGAATGGAGTCCTTCACAACTCATCATTCACATGATCAATCTCTTGGTGAAGTTCGGAATTCCGATGCCATTCCAGTTGAGGAGACGTTCACCTATGCTACTCCGTTTTTTCATGGTGATCGCTCGACTGCTTCACAACTCGCTTCAGTCCTCTATGGCGACACTCGTAATGCTCAACGTGGTGATCTCTCGTTCCCGTCTTCTGAGCGGTTTAGGGCTGTTTCTCGTTCCCCTCGCCGCGGTGGATTTTTTGGTCAACGATAGGGACACGGGGTTGAGCATGTGATCTTCCTGCGGAAAAGGAGACTTCTCGCCCCTCATTGAGGGGCGTGTGTGTGCGGAGTGACAGAATGCCCTGTCACCACCCTTTCGGTTTCTCAGCAGGGGGGTCACCCGCAGTCACGACCGGTGACCCAACGAAGAGGGTCGTGACCCGCGCTGATATCTGACCTGATCAGTCAGACGTACCTGCCGAGATGGTTGTGTTGTTCTGAATGTCCTTTTGGTCCCCCCCTGAACTGCCGTTGTTTCTGTGTGTCCCTGTTAAAGTAACTACAGGGAAGCCAAGCGTTATGCGAGTCGAACCTCATCATACTCGAGACTTATCAGTTGTACTCGAGACTCATCAGTTGTACTCGAAAGATTAGCACTCTCCATTTGGAGTTTAAGTGTGTGTGTGTGTGTGTGTCTGCGTGTATGTCAAAATGGGAGGGGGCAAAGGATAAATAAAGAAGATAAACACAAACACAAACACGAAAGAAAGACAGAAATAAAGACATAGAACAACTAAATAAGTAAGATCAATGCAGAACAACCACATACCCCTGGCCGTCAGCCATCATACCTTCAAGTCCATCAGAAAAGAAACTAGGCAAGGCATATTTTGCGATTCTGCTTTGAACAAGAAGGAGGCAAAACGGCGATGCCGTTGTGCAACCTCGAAATATTTTTGTCCCTTTGCATGGGTTGATTCCTTTGTGCTTGTGAGGCCACTGGCAGCGAACATCTGATTTGGGTGTCTCAATCTAAGCAGCGTGGCACCGGGAAGGCCAGCAGACCCGCGGACCTGGACAAGGCAGAGGCTTCACAAAGCCCCAGGAGCGATGCCGAGCGCCGTGGCATCACGAGTCTCTGTTTTCAGATATGCCCTCCCTCCCATGTGGCACTAAAAGCTGAGCGCCCCCATGAGGCAAGCTAGATTGTGAGTGTAGCCTCCACTCAGGTCGGAAAAAGAACCCTCCACTTCTCTGGCAGGCCATTCTGTGGCCATTGGCCAAGGGGACTTTTGGCCTAAGTTCAGCTCTGGCCAGTCATTCTGTTCCTTGGAGGGGACTCTTGGCCCATCTTGGGACCTTTGCGGCCTCCCCGTCATGGCTCCGCGCCCCCGCGCTCCGTTTCGGGGGCTCCGGGATGCTCGGCCCGGCGGAGAAAGTTCCGCGGGCCTGGGGCCTGGAAGCCTCGGAGAAGCCAGCGGGGCCCGGCGGTGTGTCGTTGTTTTTTTCTCTCTTTTGTTTCCCCCCGTGGGTTTTTCCTTCTTCTTTTTTTTTTTTTTTTTTTTTTTCTTTTTTTTTTTAAATCTTTTTTGTTTCACCTTGACATTTGTGAGCCATGTTTGTTTGTCATCTTCTTTTTTTTTGTGAGCCATGTAAGCTAATTGCATGACACATGTCTAAGACACTTGTTTTTTTTTTGACATATGTGGCCTGGCTCATGAAACAAGTGATGTAGTTTTGAGCGTGGCTCATGTACTGATAAGGAATGGATGAGGCTGGACCAGGGTCTCCACCAAATCTGCCACAAGAAATGGTGATGTGAAGTTTGGTGCGCAGCACTTGCAGTGCTCAAGGCAGAATTCGCCAGAAAACTTGCCCATTTCCTTTACTTCTGCCACGCTTCGAAGCTCCTTGCGCGATGTCGGATTGCACAAGCTGTTGCAACAACCTTGCATCAAGCCCAAAGTTTCAGCTGGTCCTACCCATCACAGCTTCCGTGTTCGTACTCCTGGCTGGTGTCAATCTTATCTCTCTTGTTGCGCAAGCGGACTTCCAAGCGGACACCCTCGCGATTGCTTACTACGTTGCTTGGTGGCACCCATCCCCTTTGCTTTTTAGATCTTTTTTGTTGTTTTGGGGGGGGGGGAGTCACGTGGCATGAAGCCTCTTTGCAATCACTGCACGGATCGATCCAAGGGTGCGTCGATCCCAGGTGCGACATAATTTCCAGGATTCCAAAGAGGTGACAGTGCTTGGGGTTCAATTTAACCGATTTAACCCACTACAAGCTAAACAACTTTTAGCAGGGGATCAGAAAACGGGCAGCAGATAAGTTGTGACAACGGATGGTTTTAGTAGATCAGAAAACGGGCAGGTTGGCATCCTTTTCTTCATTGTGTGGCTGGTGGTCTTGTTTTCGCGCTGCTGCGCTCCATGCTGCTGCACGATGCCGGATGTGGAATGCCCTTGTCCTTGCAAGGCATTCCACTTGTTGGATGTCCCATTCTATTTGGGCATGGTACTGGCGCTGTATGCGGTCAGCTTCTTTTTCTCCGTGGACAGCATGCTCCAAAACGGAGACTTCAACGAATTCCTGGTGGACGAGGGCCTCCACCAATTCATGGACATGGTGCAGCTACTCGGTGTGCTGCTCCTGTTGGCCGCCGTCCCCCTGGGCGTGATGAAATATCGGAAGATGCAGACCTCGAGCTACGCGGCCCAGCCGGTGCCGGCAGTGGTGGTGGGTACTGCAGTTGCAGTGGGGAATGAAGCAAGTGCGGCATAATTAGCTGGCGCTTCGTAATTTATTGAGGTCAGCGGGCCAGGCCACAGGTGGCATTAACACGGTGCCGTTCCGTTGCTCGCGTTTCCTTTTGCAGTCTCACTCTCGCCGGAAGGAGGCAAGCCTGAGAGTTTTCAAATGAAAAAGCATGAAGTCATCCGCTTTGCTAACATGAGATTTCGGCCATCTACTTTCATCCCAAGGGTTCCAGCAGCCCTCGCTTCCCGCCGCGGCTCTTGAGGAGCCTGAACGGGGTGACCAAATCTCACGAGGCGGACGTCGACATGCTGCCTGGCTGGAAGCGACGAAGTTTCTAGTCCGGTCGTCAATGGAACCACGTAGCCCCAATACTCAGGCATTCAGGAAATCAGACCCATGCTGCTGCATGATTCTTTGTTTCTGACCATGCTCACCGTGCAGAGTTTGTGAACATGAGACAGCTTTTGAGATCGTTTCTTGGCACCCAGAGCGTCCCAAACCACCCGGAGGGTGCTGTTGACCAAATGGCTGCCGCCGAAGGAGTTGGTAAGCCACTTCGACTGGGCTTGGATAGGCATGCACGCAAATTGATGTTCTTAGTTTGGCCCTTTCAATCCCTGCCTCGAAGTTTGGTGAATCTGGGTTTCCTCTTGTTTCCTCCAGGTTTTCGACTTTCCCCGAGAGAGACACGGGAAAGACGGGAGGCTCGAGCTGTTTCTGTGAGGCTGCACTTGTTGCGGAACCTCAAGGTGGGAGACGCTTAGCTGCGCGGGGCGCTGAGCTCAAAGTGGCACGCCCGGAGACCCACGCCTCCCCGAAGAAGATTTTTCCTGCATGTTCAAGCAGCGAAAAAGGCAACTTTGGTGCAAATGTTGATTGGATGTTAGGACGGAATAACATTTTGCCAACTAGTGGAATGTCCCATTCAAACTTTTAGCAGGGGAGCAGAAAGCAACCGAGGCAACATGAGATTCCTAGTCTATGAATGGACCCGAATGCTTGATGAAAGCCTTTCCCACCCCAGTTTAGCCATTGTGAGGGTTTCAGGAGTGTCCGCGTGCCCATGAGGGGTTTGAGGCGTCTTCCTGTTTGCTGCAACAGCAGCACCGCCTTCACAGTTCCCTTGTCTTCCTGGGACATTGCGTTTTGTTTGGCAATACTGATCTTGGGATAGGCAGGGGACATACGTCGCGCGAACAAGCTGAGCCCTGCCCATGATCTGTACTGGGCATTTCAAACTGGTACCCGCACATTAGGCCTCAATGAAAAGGTCATGGAACACGGTGCATCAGGGTTCCTTTTCATGCCCTTGGGCCCTAGGCAGGCCTGAAACCAATTCAACGAAGCCTATTTCCTTTGTTTGCCGGAGTACCATCAAGTTGCTCCCTCGCAAGGTCACTCGGAAAGCAATCCGTGGTAGTGGTTTGTGTGATGTTGCAGAGAGATCTGTGTGTCAGCATGTGTGTGTGCATTTTTAGAGCACCCTTGAAGTTAAGTGAGCAGCACACAAACAACCCTATGGCCCAGTTGTTAGGTTGTTTGGTTGCTATTTGGTTTAAGGGTTATAGCACGGCCTAACTACACCTTCAAAACCATCTCAGAACCACAAGTCAGTATGGGTGCACCCTTTCTCCCACTAGCATAGCATGTGTGGGAGGGTACCTCACTGGAAGATCAATGTTCAATGGCCCCTTTGGCATGTGTCATGGCAACGTAAGGGTAAGCTTGGCTGCTGTTGACCCGATCTGCAAAAAGTTTAACTTTTTGTGGGTTTAGTGGAAACTTTTCTCCCTTGATTTCCAAAAAGACAAAGTCTAAAGATCCATTCCCCAATAGCAGTCAAGCAACGGGCGCGGAACTCGGTTTTGGCGGACCTCTCCCAAGCGAATGGCTCTCAGGACGTTGCCTGAAGGCAGATGGCAGGAGTTCCGGAGCTGGGTGGAATTGCTGAAAGGTGGTTTTGGCTCAAAACCGATTTGGGTAGAAGGTTCAGGGAGAATCCCCTTGCCATGAATGTGGCCGCCTTTCGGAAATCCGCTTTTTTCTTTCCGGGAATCCCGCGCTTTTTCAGGAGAATCCCCTTGTCATAGATTTGGCTTCACCTTCGGACTCCGCCTTTGCTCTCATGATTTTCATTCTCTGCCATGCTTCTGGACGATGTTTTCATTCCGATCGGTTCTGAGAACATGCGTCTCCGAGCCATTGACCCTACCTGAAAAAGCAGCAGCGATGATGAAATCACCAGCGCGTTTTGATGAACTTTTGACGAAAGGTAAGCCCTGTATAAATCCCCTTTTGCTGGTGTCAAACACCATTTGGTTCAATCCAAATATTTTGGGAATGTTATGTGGATCTGGCCAGCGTAAGCCAACTGCCCGGAAAAAATGCAGATTTGAGAAGGTAGGACATAATCCTGACCCGGGGTTTTCAGCATGCGTTGTAAGGTTACCACTGGGTCCATCAAAGGGATATCCTCAAAAGTACCCTCTAAATGGTGGCTCAAAGGGTTCCCACCCCCAAAAGTAGTTTTGCGAACGCAACCACTTTGAGAGACCAAGTAGTCTCTCACCAACAAACATGGAATTCACCAGAAGGGTGTTGCAAAAAAAAGAGAGGAAGTTTTCCAGGACTCCCTGTCAGGTTCCAGCTTTATCACGAAAGCTAGCTTTAGCTAGCTGAAGTTTCTCCTTGCGTAAGCAAGGTAAGGGGCTCAAATGCCGAAAGATTGATTTTTTCAATTATTTGAGCCGAAAAGATTGAAAAACATCAATTATTTAGACCCCCCCCCCCTCCCCCCCCCCCCGGGTCTCAGGCTCGATTCCTCCCTGGTCCATCCCCCCCCCCCGGGCAGTGGCTCAGTGTTCAGCAGTCTCGGTTTGCCCGTTTTGGACTTGGTGCTACGAACTTTTACATGTTCCACCGATTCAGCTTGTTCATTTGAGACCTCAGTCTTCTCGGTAAACCACCTCGCAAGAATCTTTGCACACGCTGCATGCAGAACCCAGAGGTGCTTTAAGACAGCTTCTGACGCCTCTCGTTGTTTTCATTTTTCAAGGTTTGCCACGCCACCATGTGCGTTTGCGTGTCGCATCCTACGAATCTTGCCGGGCCTCTCGTTGTACACAAGCTACCTATGAATCCACTCTGTCACCGACCCATCTCATGCAACAACTGCTAGCTTTCGTTCACCCGCTCCTCAAGTGGGAAAGTACCCCTTCACAGGTGGATCTGTAGCTGGGTGTGATGCTTCTCAACATGTTTTTCCGCTCCAGGACAGACAGGTACCGAAGTTTTGTAGGCTCGCGGGAGCCTCAGAGAGTCGAATTTTTGCCGCGTGCGATTGAGACCCGGGGAGTGATGAAGGTCAAGTTTTCTAGGGGTACCTTTCATGGAACCATTCTTTCCAGGGATCCGAATCTTTCTCGAACACCGAAATGGCGATCGGTTTTTGAAAAGGACGATGGCTGAAAAGAATGGTAAAGGAATCAACCCCTGGAACTATGGGAGAACCCCAACCCATGGGTGCGGATATCCGCCTTTCTAATCCCTCACATTGACATGGGTCCGGGTCCCGATCATTTTAATACTGTGGATGGACGAAATCCCACCTAAGAAACCCTGGAGAGATGATTCCCCTGTAAATACCAACAAGCAATGGTTTCTCATGGTTTCAAAGTGGTGCAGGACTTCGTCCATCCACAGTAGGGTTCGGTTTGGATGACTCAATTGTTGCCTGCGTAAGTAGTAACGGACCAACTTCTGATCCAGTTGAGATAAATGACACGGTCAAGATCCCGGCTGCGAAACGTGGATTTTGTCCACACAGGTCTCCGCGAGGTCTCTCGCAAGCATCTCACGAAGAGTTAAGATATGCGATTCGTGTTCTTTTTGCTGCCTTAGCTCCTATGCTTGTCAGGGCCCCCCCCAAACAGCGGACTGGAAATGGTCCCCGGGAACCTTGTTAGCCCCAAGAGACCCTATTAATCGCTATCATCCCCTATTGGGATTGGGGGGCCTTTATTGGGGGTCCCTTGACAATCACCGTAGGATTAGTTGCATGTTTTGGGGATTGGAACCCTTCTTGTAGAGGCTTTCATTTGGAACCCATCCAAGCTCCAAACCTAGACACTGATTCGGTCGAGAGGAAAGCGATTGTTGAGATGCCGTTTGTCACCCGGCGCCTAGCGAAACCGAAGCAGGGTTGTCGCCTTTGCCCATGTTATCATTGCTGAAAAAATCAGATCCAGGATTCCTGGCCTTTGCAAAGCCAAGCGAAAGCGTTGAAGATGAGTTGATATGAGAACCTGACAATCCTATATCTTGGAAGTCCGCTGTTTGTTTGGGGAGAGGAGGGGAGGAGGAGGAGGAGGAGGAGGAGGAGGAGGAGGAGGAGGAGGAGGAGGAGGAGGAAAATGCTTTTGCGCTGCAGCCAGACCAGTGCTTTCAATGGATGCTTTGTGCACTCCGAGGTGCAGGCTGTGTCTTCAAGTGACACAGCTGACGGCGAGCCCGCCAATCGAGTTTCATTTTTAGACCATTTTGGGACTCGGCAACCACGATATTTGCCTGTGGAGCTCTGTTTGCGTGTGTGGCCAGATTTTGCTTGTTTCAGCGCATGCTCCAGACTGAACAACAGGCAAAAGACGTGCCCACGGTTCAGCCCTTTTCTATGGCCTCAAAGCCCTTTTTCGTTGTGCTGCGAGGATTGAAGTGTCTCATACATGCTTCCCGGCGAACTGTTTGGCTTGAAGTCGGCCTCTTGTGACAGAAGAACCCACCCGGGGTGCGAGGTCGTGTATCCGGGTGGTTTTTAGAAGTTGCAAGGGGAGATGTCGAGCAACAAGTTGAAGTAGCTGAACACTGGAGACATAGCTGGCTATGTTGTTCTGATGTGGTGAGGTGTTGGTGATCGTTTGTGGCAACCTGCAGAATTGGAATTTGCTAGTTGCATCCAAGCTGCGACAGCCTTCGGCCGTGCCGCGACAGATTATGACTGGCAGATAGCCAAACGTGCTAGCTAGCTTAGTCAAGTCATTTGACCAGCCAATTTTGCGAGTGGGTTCCTGCAGATTTTCAATGGGCTTGCATGGACACCCTGGGGTTCCGGAATGCCCGAGATTCTGTCACCCGGCATGCTCGAACTCTGCTTCTTGAAAGTCGTTCAGGTCCCGAAGTTGGTAGCTTGTCAGTTTAAAGGGACACCGCTGGGTGCGTCTTGTTGGGGCACCCCCAAAATGGATCTTGGTTGTGCGTTTGGTTTTCCTTCACCAAAATAGCGGGGTCCCTTAAAAAGAGACGCGCGCTCACGAGTGGTTTCAAGCGCTTTAGAATGGGGGAGTCAAGCGCTTCATTTTGATCCATCAAGAAGCGGTTGCGACGAGCATAGCTCTGGGCGGGAAGGTATCGCTTGGAAGGGCGAAAAAAATAGCGGCCTGCAAGGTTGGGTCCAAGTTTGGTATGTGTGGGGGGGGGGGGGGTAGAAAATGAATGTGGTCTTTTAGTTTCCCTTGAATCCCACCTGAAAAGGGCTCCCACCACATATGACACTCTTCCAGGTGGGTTTCTAGGGACGCCTCAAGGAGAATCACCAAGTTTTACATTTTTTTAGTTGTGAGGATGCCAGCCTCGTACTCATTGCATCCCCGCATAAGTTGTGACAATGCATAGTTTTGCCCTTCGCTGTGCTGGATACTTCCATTTGCTTAAGATTATGTGTATATATATACACATCATTTTGCCCATGTTGGCTTTAAAGGGAATCTGGCCCTGCTGGACATATTTCTCATTTTTTCAGGGGACTTAAGCAAATGGAGGGATAGTTTTGCCTTTCGCTCATGTGTGCTGTGACCGAACTCTTGTACTCCAGTCAAAACCTCCATTTGCGTTTGCATAAGCTTTGCTGGCGATGTGGGGGTCTCCAAAAAATGGGGGGAACTGGGGGGGGGCACTCAACTCATCTTGAGCGGAGGCAGACCCGGCAATTCGACGCTTTTCTCCTCCGCGAGGCTGTGGGCTGCTGGGAATGAGCCGAATCCAGAGGTTTCGAATCGAAGCCGCGAGGAGAAACAAGCTCGGATGCCGTGGCGTTTTGCCAGTGGCGTGTTTTGCTTTGGCGCTCAGCGCAGAGCTGGGTGAAAGCAGGTGATTTCAACTACACCATTTTGGTTTAGTCAGCCATTTTACTTGCCTAAAGGGAATTGTGCCATCATATTTCAGCCTGGCCGAACATGGCTCTTGCACTTTGCGACAGCCTACCAAAGCTTTTTCTGGCTGGATGGCTCTAGTGTAGAGGTCAACAGTTGTTTTACATCATTGCACACGGCTGCGTTTGGATGGCGCAGATAGCTACGTCTCCCTGTGTTTTTACCTCAATCGACTCTGAGCTTGGAGGCAGTCTGCGCACTTCTGGAAGCGACGTCGACACCGCCAACGATATCGAAGAAGCCTGGGCTGAGCACATCGCCAGGGTGAAGAGAAGCCAAGTGTCGGGTCTCGCAGCAAAGGAAACATATTTGCGTGAAGATGAGGACGAGGATGAGAATCATGGTACTTGGAGCATGACATCAATCTGCTCTTTTCGCCATGCCCTATCTATGAGACGATACAAAAGTTGCTTCGACGAGGAGCTGTTCGACTGTTGTGACTTCCGTTCAACCACTGGCAGCGAAGATGATATTGCCGATATGCTTCTGCTAGGAAGCGATGATGAAGAGGACTTCTGAGCTGGGAATTGTGTCAGTCTCTGCCAACAGCGCGCGCCTGCGCGTTCTGCAGCATCTCGGCCAATCTGGTGACGCGGCCCCGGTTTTGATGTAATTCTGACAATTTCAGCCAATTTGTGCATGTAGCCGGACTAAGCTTTGTCGTGCTCGGCCAAGTTCGCAAGTGGTTGGCCACCTGAGTTACAACCCACTTATCTCGGGGTTAACCCAGTCATTTATGGGTAATAAGCGAGGTGGCTATCCACTTGCTAACTTAGCTGAGCACCCAAGTGGTGTTCCCTTGCGCTGCTCATCTCCATGGGCCCGGCGCTAAGTGCCGGCCTTTCTCTCAGTTCATGCGCCGTCTTGGCCTCGATCAAAAGTTCGGACCGTGCGGTGCAGTGAGTTGGAACAGAGAACTTCCCACATCGAGAAACCGGTTTGGATGTGGCGAATCTGTGGATCCACCCCTGTTTGATGTTAAAAGAGTACAACAAAAAACCACCAGCGTGAAGAACAGGGAAAATCCACAAAAAGCGCATCCAAACCGGTTTCGAGATCTAAAGCCCGATGCGACTCGCCAGGGTGCTTTAAATCTTTTCCTGCGCGGGACTTTGCAACCTGCGGATCTTTGTTTGAGGGGCTTGCAGGTCTCTCTGCACAGCCCACGCTTTTCGACGGACCTTGCGCCACCTCGAATTGCATTGCAAAAAAGTGATTGGTGACGGAAGGTAGCCGAGTGAGTATAAGCGCTGCATGAATGACAGCGCTGCATGAACGACAGCTATCTGAAATCCAGTCTTTAGGACATGTCGGCTTCTGTTGGAAGAAGCGTGGTGATTGATTTCACAAAGGAGGTCCAAGGGAGCCATCGCATGCTGGCAGCAATTCTGTGAGTTTTCTTGATTATTCAGGGAACTGTAGTCAACCAACGTGGTCCGGTAGGAGGAGCGTCCACGATGGCATAGTGCCTTTCAGCTTTCACCTTACACAACTCAGTTGTTCCAAGCGAATCGAGCTTTTGACCTTTCGGTTTTCCCATCCACTATTTTTTTTTGCCAAGGTCCCCACATGTGACGCTTTTTCAACCCGTCCCAAGTGACTCCTCAACACTCGCAGCTATGGCCACGCGCCCTGTCGCGCGGCCATGGCGGCTGGCGCTTCTGGCGCTGCTGGCGGGTCCCGCATGGATCGGCCCGCGAGGGTCGGCGGTGCCGGCGCGGGCGGCGCCGGTGGCGCGGGCGAGCGGCCGGAGCTCCGAGTGGCCGGAGATGTTTGCATGGGCGACTTTGGTGCATGCCCTTGGGGATGTGATCTGAAAATCACTTTGAGTACGGAATAGGGGGTTTGAGTTTGTCTTGTGCATTTTGCCAAGGGATGTGACTGAATCACTTTTTGCCCACGTTTTTTTTCTTCTTTTTTTTCTCCGAATTGAAGCGCTCAAACTTTTATTCACTTTTAGCAGAGCAGAAAGCCAGCGAGGTGAAGAGCACTGGCATGGACACCTCAGACATTCAAGTCCAGGTGGGAGCCTCCGATCCGGTCTTTGGGGCTGGGAGTTGCTGGGTCCCAGGCAGAAAACTGGAAAACAAAAACCGCGCGCGGGCGAAGCGCGGCCATGTTTTGTAGCATCTGTTGGGTGGCACCGAGTTCTTGGAGCCCCACTCTTCCACCAGCATATATAGTCTGCTTCCTTTTTTCGCTTGTCATAGGTGATTAGAAATAGATGGGTCCCGCTGTTTTAGATGGGGCTGCTTCCATTTACCAGGGGCGCCCATCTATTTTTCACCAAAAGGCCACCTATGCCCCTTGTGTTCGAGAACAAGTGGGTTGGCCCCAAGCTCGTCCGCCTGGGGTCTGGTTTCAGCAGCTCCGCGGTTTTTTTTGGCGGTTTCCGAGGTGGAGCCCACGGAGGAGCTCGCGAAGGGCGAGCTGGGCTTGATCACCACTGCCCCACTGCAGGCGGGGGATATCTTGGCCTGGGCCCCCACGAAGCTGCTGCTGAACAAGCAGAAGGCGGCGCCTCTCTCAGAAAACATGGCTTGATCATGACTTGGCATCTTAAGAGATCTCCATCTTGCAACCGGTTGAAACATGTTGTTTTTTTCCACGAAAATCAAGGGAAACCACCGTTTACAAGACAATGTTCAGGTGTATAATGTAAGGATCTCTGTCATGACTTAGCACAGAGTCATTTTCGGATTGAAGAACATGTGAATCCGAGTCTGGCCATATTTGGCCATGGCAAAACCAATGGTACCATTTTTGGGGTAGGTGCACCACCCATTTTAGTCTATTTTACTGGGGATTGGGATGTTCACTGGGGGTACGGGGTTTTGACCCATGGCCATTTGGCGTGGAGTGCCGAGGTAGATATTTGGGGCTCCAAGATTGAAGACCTGTCCGACCGCTTGGCCCTGATCTTACTGCTGATCCAAGAGCGCTTCGTGCACGGCGCCGACTCGAAGTGGCACGTCTACATGCGCTCGCTGCCGCGCTTTGACGGGGACGTCTCGGGCCCCAGCTTCCTATGGTCCGAAGAGGAGATCGAAGAACTGCAGGGGAGTGATGGCTACGGCGCGGCCCTGGCGATGTACAACGCGGTGGTGGATGAGTACGAATTCCTCAATGCGACGCTCTTCAAGGATCATGAAACTGATTTTCCGCAGGACACCTTCAGCTTCGACCACTTCTTGTGGGGGGCTGCAAATGTGGCATCCAGGGCATACGGAGACGATGCCGATGGGACCAATCTTTGTATCGCTCCGCTGGTGGACTTTCTGAACCATAAAGCTGGCGCGTTGCAGCTGACTCGTTTCGGTAACGGAATCGTGGCCTATGCACACAAGCACTACGAGGCAGGGCAGTCCTTTTTTGACTGTTGGAAACGTGTACGGGCTAAGTTAAACACTACCATGGAAGCATGTGTAGGCCAAACAAGTGCGGACTGGGAGGTCTTCCAAGCCAAGCTAAAGTCCAAATTGACCCAAGGCGTTTCAAACGGAATAGGGGGTTTGAGATTTTCTTGTGCATTTTGCCAAGGGATGTTAGGATCTTTAAACTTTTTGGCAACGAATTCGGGTTTTCCGTATTAAGCCACCACACGTTCTTCACTTTTGGCAGAGCAGAAAGGAAAAGGAGTTTTGAGGCCGGGGAGCAAGTCTGGGTGAGCTACGGGGGCAAGAGCAACGCGGAGCTGCTGTCGCAGTACGGCTTCGTGGATCCGGACAACGGCCAGGAGGCGGTGTACATCCGCATGGGCGAGCACCTGACCGCGTCGGAGGAGAAGATGACGTTGATCGCCGAGCTCCTGGAGGTGGCGGCCACTGGCAATGGGCGAGGGGTGAGAAATGGATTGTATGGCTTTTGGGAATGAATGGCAAAGGGGTGCGCATGGTGGGTCTGAAGCCCAAGAAGGAGTTAGCCTCTTTTTGTTGGCACCTCCAGGTTGTCAGACGTAAACACCAAAAAGCACATCTCCAGGTTGTCAGACCTTTCTCTTTTTTTACGTCTCCAGGTTGTGGGACTGTTTGTTTTGTTTCGAGGTGGACTCCGCGGAGGGGGCCATCTTCCGTCTCTCGCGGCGGCCGCGGGAGTGGGAGCCGAAGCTGCTGCCGGTGCTGCGGGTGGTGGCGCTGGAGGGCGAGCTGCCCAGCGCGGAGGAGACGATGCGACATGGGCGGAGGGCGCTACCGTGAAGTTTCCCTTTGGTGCAGTTTGCCAAGGGGGGGTGCATCCCAACCAATCGAAGGGCACTTTGATTCAAGGCAGTGAGTCGCACTTTGCTTTGTTCAGGCTCCGGAGCTGCCCGAAACTTTTGAGCCTCGCAAGAAAGGCCGGTGAACACCTTTTCACCCGGTTCCCAAATCGGGTTGTCCAAGCCCAACCCTCAAGATCCTTCTGTATGTGGTTGTCTTTGGTGCATTTTGCCAAGGGATGTTAGGACTGAATAACTTTTTGCCAACGAATTTGGGTTTTCCGTGCTAAACCACTAAAAGTTATTCACTTTTAGCAGGGGAGCAGCAAGCAACGGAGTTCCTTCATGTTGACCCCATATGAATTTATCAACATCAAGACATTTCCTTGACCCACATGTTGACCCCTATGATACCTCATATTGATATTTCCTTTAGTTTATTGAACGGGGAAAAGGGAAATATCAATTAGTCAACCACAGTTTATTGGGGTGGATTAATTAGTCAACCCCCTGTTTATTGGGGGGGGGGGGATTAATTAGTCAACCCCCCGTTTATTAATCAACCCCCAGTTTATTGAGAGGTGCTTCTCCCGGGGTTTGATGGTTGGAATCAGATCACTTTTGGAGGGGACCCCCCCCATGAATAAGCTGGGGTTGATTGATATGGGATCAACATTACATGGATTGTGTGGACCATGTCAATACCGAATGGGGATGGGTCAAACTTAAGCCACCAGGATATGGACCGGGTTTTAGTCCCCCCCCTCCAGGATTCCATTTGCCAGGGTTCCATCCACCAATTAGCATAGAAGCTGACGTTCGGGGGGTCCTGGTTTGGACCATCTTCCTTTCAAAGGGACCGGGTCCCTGTGAGGTTCCGGCTGTTAATTGGTGGGAGGGGAATGTTGACCCCCTATTCATCATCCCCGGTTTATTTTAAATAGGTGGGTGGGGGCCCCTTCCACAAGTCATGATTGCAACCACTAAACCCAGCTTGACACCCCCTATTGAACTTGGCTTGAATACTATGTTTGTTTCTTTCTTTCTTTCTTTTCTTTCTTTCATTCTGTATTTCTTTGTTTGTTTCTTTCTTTCTTTCTTTGTTTGTTTGTTTGTTTGTTTGTTTGCTTGTTTCTTCGTTTCTTTTGTTCGTTCGTTCGTTTGTTTGTTTGTCGTGGTATTTTCTTCGGTTCCTTCGCTCCTTCGCTGCGTTTTTTCGCTCGCAGGAGATGATTCCCAGAGCGCCGGAGCTGGAGGCCGCGGCATATCGAGCGCTGCAGCGGGCCATCGATCTGCGAGCGGCCGAGTACCCGCGGTTGGACTCGGAGGCGGGTCGGCAAGCGCGGTCCACCGTCCCCAGTTTCGTGTTGAGGTTCGGCCCCAAAAAGGGCCGCCACGAAGCTTTGTGAGATGGGTTGTTCGATTTGGTCTCCCGTCAGGTTCTGGATGTACATTTAGTTTTGGGTACCTTCTCTATCCGTTGTAAGCTGCAAGCAATATAATTTTATTCTAGGAGAGCAATGCAATCCGAAGATTTTGTGGTGGCTTGTAGCGCGGTTTCGATTTGGATTTGAAGCCCTCACATGGGTTTACAGCTCCAAAAAAAACCACTGAACCAATCCAAACCACCAATGGAGGGAAGCTGACCCTTTCTTTGACCAGGGTTCCAATGGAACTCACTTTTCCCTCCCCAGTTCTGGAAGATGAACCAACATGCAATTAATGTGAGTTGAACCATGATGATGGAAGTAATCACCAGATGCAGCAACATACTTGTTCTGGAAGATGCAATTAAAGTCTGGAACTCCCCGGGTATTTCTTCCAGCTTGCTGCGGCCGCGGCTTTTTCTCGGGTTTTCTCGTCTTTTTCTGAGGCGCCACAGGAGCTGGACGAGAGGCGGGCCTTGGCGCGGAAGCTGCGGGTGTCGGAGGGGGAGCTGCTGGAGCTGGTGAAGACCTACGCCTTGGACCAGGAGCTAAGAGCCAGCGGCTAAAATTGAGGAGCCAGCTGCGGTTCACAGCTCTGGACTTGTCTGCGGGGCGGCGGCTGTTTGAGGAGTTCGGGGTTTGAGGATTCATCATTTCCAAGAGGACGTGGGGGTCTGCGGGCGTCTGGTGTTTGAGGTTTGGGGTTTGAGGAAAGGCCCAAAACTGTGAAACTTGGGTGTGAGTTGATTGGAAACTTGAAGTGGAATGTGCGATACACTGTTGATGCTCACGTCTTTATGGTTTTTTCGAGGTCAAAACCGTGGATCCTCTGTAGAGCTACTAGTTTGCAACCTGACGTGGAAGGGCTTGCTTGGGCGATGGATGCGAAGCCCCGATGTAGCAAATTTAGCTGCCTTGCTCATCGGGGAGGTGTTCTCATGGTTTGGCAGCTGCAGGGAAGGAGAAGGGTGTCGACGAGGTGGATATAACTCTTGGACAGAGTTATCCCTTGCAATTCCTGGTGTGTCAATGGTAATATATAGGGACAGCGCTGGACTTTCAAGACAAGTTTGCCGGCAATCTTTTCAGAGCAATTGGGAGAAGATGTGGCTGCGCGAGGTTCTTGAGCTATGACATATGGCAAGTGGGATGGGCGGCAGGAACGTTCGCCTCGGAATGGCCTAGCCAGCATAAAGCAACCGAGCCCTCAGAGTTTTCTTCATGCGCGCATGGATGGATTGGCAGAGATGCACGATTCGCGATGGCTCAGAGGTACTGAGGGACCATGAGTCAGGGTACGGAGTCTCATAGGCTAGTATGTGAAACTCTTTGCAGTGTTTGCGACTTGAATGCTGGCACTGTGGAGTCCTAGATACAGCACATCTTTAACACTTCCCTTTCTGCAATGCTCCCTAGACCTTGATTTTACAGCAAGCTGCCAGAAGTAGGCGCACCAACGTGCGAGTGCACTTGTAGACCAGCCTCATCTTCCGAGTTTTGCCAAGATGAGCGCCGGCCTTACTATGGCAGACAGCCGAAGCCTGGTCAGGCAGGAGGCAGTACAGACAGCGCAGACGAGGCATTGAGGGGTCAAAGTTAGACATGTGCCGTTCTCCCCCTCCTCATGCTGGGATTGTACGTGACGATGACAGGTTTCCCTTTGTTTCGCCTCAAAACATTACCTCTACCAAGGGAAACTCGCCTTGGTGCCGACAGGCTGATGTTGAAAACCCGAAAAAATGTTTAAACCAACCCAATGACAAACAATGCTGATCCCATATTAATCAACCCCAGTTTATTAAATTCGGGCCCCTCCAACAGTGATGGTTCCCCACTAAACCCAGGGACAAGCACCCCCCGAAAAAAAAAAAAAAAAAAAAAAAAAAAAAAAAAAAAAAAAAAAAAAAAAAAAACTGCCTGTTGATTTACACAGGGTCAGCATCGTACGGACCATCCGTATATTTCTCCACAAATCATCCACCAAGGTGCCAAAGAGCGGCCTTTTTAAACCAACTTTAGTGACAAATATCGGGAACCCCCCCCATACTGTGGATGGGCGAACTCCTGCACCACCTGAGAAACCCTGGAATGATGATTCTCTTGTAAACACCAACAAATGGTTTCAACCATGGTTTGCAAGTGGTGCGAAAAGGATTTTGTCCATCCACAGTATGACCGCTGCTCCTTCCGGTCCGGACATGTCCCCCCCCGGCCCGGACGTCCCGGCGGCTGAGGCGGGCATCACACCCTGGCGAGCACCAAGGTGCACACCACGCGCCTGGCGTCCAGCGGCCGCAACATGCCGGCCAAGGACCGCGGACTTTTTGCTGTCGGGGGGGGCGAGGGAGGGAGGGAGGGAGGGAGGGAGGGAGGGAGGGAGGGAGGGAGGGAGGGAGGGAAGGAGGGAAGGAGGGAAGGAGGGAGGGGTTGGACTTATTGTTTGTTTCTTGGTTGAATTTGTTGGGCCATTGCGCTTCAAGCCCCGGAAGGGTCTCCCAAAAAAGGATCGGTGGGCCGTGATTGCGCTTAAAATAAGCCCTTGTGAAGGGTAGAGCATCAGCGGCAGCGCCGTGGTTGCGCTTAGAACCCAAGGGTACTTTCCAAAAATCAGCCTTCAACCGCCTTGCAGTCGTACCCCACATTTGGCATTGCCGCAGGGCGGATTTCTGGATGTTAGCTGGATGGCACCCACTTTTTTGGGATACTCTTGCGTATGTTGAGGCATACGCATTTTGATCCACCTTGCAGATGTGCTCCGCGCCAATAAAATCGGGTGCCAGGCACAGAACATGCAGAACCTGCAGAACGTGCTGGCGGCCGCCAAAAAGAACAAGCCGGCAACAAGAGTTTGCTGCTCAGTGATTGGAGCGTTGCTGCAGGTTTTCCCGGTTCGATGATTTTGATGTTCAGGAAAGTGACTTGTCGCTTTTTGGGTTGTCACTCGAATAAGGAGTTTGAAGCGCAGGTGGAAAACCAGCTGGGTTCATGTTGGCACCTCCTCAAACGTTCTCCCCTTTGGTAGGGGAACATGTGCAGCTTCGGCGTCAAAGAACGGCTTGGGCACCCGTCCACTGGCTCGGACTCCCGACTTCCCGAACCCGTCGTGCGGGAGCCGGTGTTGCGTCACAAGTGGCGCAGGACTGCCCACTTGTCCCATGCCGTCCGGGTAAGTTTGGCATGGGGCCAAGCCACAGGTCACAAAGCTGTGGTTAAAGCGACCCACGGCCTTCTTTCATCCAGATCCGCATTTTTTGCCCCCTGTTCCAGCCTCTCATCACTTGGGAGACACGAGTCACACGAGGCCAATTTTGGGAATCACTCCAAAATGCCACTCTCCTTTTTTTCTTTTTTCCCGGACCCACCGACTTTCTCCCCGGAAACTCGCTAAACAAAATGCCGCCGCCCAAAAAAGACTCGGGGCTCGCCGGTGCCTATGGGTACAGGTGGAGAACGCGCGGATGCTCCGGGCCAAGTTCACGGAGCTCCAGGAAGTCGCCTTTTTTTTGGTGAGCCGGCCGACTCGACCGCTTTTTTTTTTCTCCCCCTCTTTTCCTTTTTTTTCCTTCTCCTTCTCTTTTTTGTTCTTCTTCTTTTCTTTTGTTTGCCATTTTTGTTTCTTTTTTCTTCTTTCTTTCGTAATTTTGGGTGTGGCCTCGTTTTTTTTGTTGGGGCGGGGGGACTCCCCAAAATGGCTTCGGATGTCCTTTTGGGTTCCCTTTAAAACCCACCAAAACAGGGGTAACCTCAAAAGAGAGAGAGAGAGAAAAAGAGAGCCTTTGCTCGCCCTTTTGGATGTTTTCGTTTTCCGTGTTTTTGTTTTAAGGATTCGGTGGTGGTTTTCTCGGGGTTGCCGTCAAGCTGGCTTCAGGGCAAACGGAGCCCAGCGGTGCCGGCCCCGATGTTTTCCACGGGGTTCTGAGATCTCCAAATTCTTACAAAGTGAACCCCGACTGAGAAAGACAACACCGAGCACGAGGTCCAAAATAAATCCGCAACGGCTGGGTTGGTTGTGGTTGTTGGTTTTGGTTGCATCGCAAGAGAGAGAGAGAGAGAGAGCTGTTTGGAGCCCCTCGAAATCCAGCAGGCTTCCATTTGGAGCTCACCGCACAGCTCCAAGTCCAGGGGGTCCGGAAGCAGAAGCAGATGTGTCCTGAGTGCCTTGGGGACTTCACTCCCTGAGTTCCCGGACTTTGAGTAAACTTTTGGGAAGACCGTGGCGGTAAACAAAGAGTTTCGGACTTTTCTGAGCAATCCGCTCAGGAAGTGAGGGACTGCCAAAGAGATGACATCGAGCTCAGGTTTGCTTTGCTGGCAGTCTTCCTTGGCAGTTCACCTGCACAATCGGATCAGTACTTGGAGCAAGGCTTTTTTACGCCTTGATCAGTTTTGACACCTCGCATCTTGAAAAGGACAGCCGAATCCAACCATGCTACACACCACGTATGAACAGGATGCGCCACATCAGAAGAAAGCAATATCAGCAACCAGCTATTGCCAGCTAGCATTGAAGGATATGGGTCTGTCATTTTTGGGAACCCCCCTTTTGGTTGGTTTTAAATGGAAACCAAGAGGAACACCACCATTTCGGGGGTGGGGGGATATAAAACGACGCCCCCCTATCCATACACAGCCGAGTAGCGCACACAGGACTCACCAGACGGAGCCGACTTGGACCCCCTCACCATCCCCAAGTGCGTAGAGCAGCTCGGAAGGAGATAGCAACTTACGCCAGTAGATGTGTCTTCCAATATGCTTGCTTTTGAGTTTGATTGAACTTTTATTACTTGATGTCATTTCTGCGAATTCGTGGGAGACTAGATTTCCAAAGGCACCGCGATGTTGGTTCCTGGACGGGTCGGATTGCCGAAGAATCTGTGGGATGGGCGTGACTCACCGGGGGTGCTAGCAATGGCAGTCCTGGCACCCTCGGAGAAGTTTGCCACCCAACATCACCGCTGTCAGCCGCGGAGCGGGGGGAAGCTGCTCATGCACAGACCCCGCCTTTGCGACTGCGGTTCTCCCACATAGATATGGGAAATATGGAACCCTCGCAAATGGACATGACAAAAACCAGTGGGCCATATCCTGGTGGTTTAAGTGTGACCCATCGCGGCAATGTTGGTTATGTTGGGTTTTGTCAGTGAGTCGTCATTGAGTGATGCCTTTGCATTTCTGGTTGGTGAGACCCACGTGCTACGACAGCACATGGGCAGGATGCTTCAATTGACAGCAGACCTTCTTGCCATCACCCTTCGTTTGATACGCTTTCTTCAATGTGTGGGGTTGATCAAAAGGTTCTTTACATGGCATGACCATTAGGGAAACCAGAAAAAAAGCTGGCTTTCACCACAGGGGCCAGGAATATTGGTCAACATGTCTATATGTTACACGTATGGCTGATCATTGCTCCGTGGCGTTTGCCATATTTTGTTAGGGGAATGCATGGGTCTCAGTCACCAAACTACCATTCGGAAATGGGGTTACTCACCAGGCTCCCATGTCAGTGCGGACCACAAATATGGACCATGACTCACATCGTCTGGGAGCCGATAGGCAAGGACAGCTGGGCCCGTCTTTTGGTTCCTTGCTGCTTTGTTCTTCCGCCCCGACGCTTCCTTGCCAGTTTGTGAGCTGTCCAGTCAGGAAACACAAATTGGGGGCCGCTTCTTTACTGACCAAGGTGTGCGCACTGTGGCTGGCCTGTCTATCCTCGGGAGTGCAAGGCAGGCATATCGCATCACTCCCTCTGGAGTGTTTTTTTTGAGGCTACCCTTCTTTGTTTTCAAGCGAAACCACCAGGAACACCGAAGCCGTTTGGGGTTCCCCCTCCAAAAGACACACCCTGTTTTGAAAAAGAACATGCTTTTAGGGGTTGATTCCTCGTCCATTCTTCTCAACCCATGGTTCCTTCCAAAAACTGGATCCGTTTTATCTCTGGGTTTCCGGAGGTCTAGAAAGATTCGGATGCCTGGAATGGAAATGGAAGGCACCCCCTAGACTTCCCCAGAGTTAGCTCCGCTTTTTATTTGTTTTGCCTTTTTGGGGTCCCCTTTGTTTTCCAATAACCAGGCAAATATATATATATATAGTGTTTTGCCGGGGTCCTAATTCCAGCCAAGTAGCATATTACCGTCAGGCGAAGTGCCTGTCGGTGCAACACTTCGATCTCCGTGGCTGTGCTAATCACGACCGCCGCAACTTTTTACGTCAGCTGGCGCCCATCCCCACGAAGCATTCAGGTCCAAGCAAAGCCAGTTTCAAAGCTCCAGTCCACTTAAGTCAGCTCAAGGTGGGTATGGGTCAAAATTAAGTTGATTCCCCAGGATATGGACCCTTTGCATCTTGAATCGTCCATGTTTCCACTTTCCAGGGTGACCCGGCCACCCAATGGACCGAGAGCCTTCGACCGCAACTCGATCCCCACCCGAGCTGAGAGCTCGCCAGGTGGCCACCAAGAAGACCTTTGCCCGGGCAGGACGCTGAGCTCCGGGCGATTCCCCACCGCGCCAATGTTGTTGTTGCTTTTTTTTTTTTGGGGGGGGGGGAGTGATCAGGAAAAAAGCAATGGGTGGTTTGGACTGGTTTGGGAATTTCGAAGATGGTTCTTGAGGGCTCAAGGTCGGATTGACCTCCAAACCAATCCGAAGAGGAAGAGGGAAACACCAGTTCGGGTGTGTGTTTTTGAGGCTTCGCCTTGGGTTTCGAAGTGCCGTTTTGTCGAAGGCCATTGCAAACCGGCCGAGGCTGGGATAGATCGCGGCTCCAAGAAGGAGGAGGAGGCGGGCCGCGACAGGAGACGCTGGACCAGGGCTCGGGCGGTTCACGTATCGGTGCGTCGTTTTCGAGAGTTCCCCCTTGTGGGGTGGCTCTACAGGGAAACGCTAAGGGAACCAACCATCCTGAGGGTATCTCTGTTTTGAGACTTCCCTTTTTGGTAGTTAAAGACATTGCCTTTCTGGCGCGTTTTCTTTTGAGCCTTCCCTTTTTGGTGGTTTTAGACATCACCTTTCTGGCCCAAGGTGAGGTTTCCTCGTTGGGGTGTTTTAGAAATGTAGGGAACGCTGTCTACTGCAGACAAAATCCACGCCGATCGGTGGGTGTTTTTTTTGGGTGGTTTTTATCAATCATTCATAGGGTTGCATCCATCCCAACAGGAGCTTTGGTCATCCATCCCAACAGGAGCTTTAGGAGCTTGGCCGTGCTTTGTGGAGCTTTGGTCAACCTGATTGGTGGTCTCCGAATTTTGACACGTAACCACATATCACTGAGCATATCACATTGTCCCCATGTGTGGCTTGGATTTGACTGGTTCTGAGATGATTCTAAGGGTACCACTCGTGGTTCGCGACCTGAGTTATAACCCACTTGTGGGGTCAACCCAGTCATTCATGGGTTATACGCCAGGTGGCTAACCACTTCCCTTGGCCAGTCAGTGGGCAAAAATGCCAGGAGGCTCTCCACTCAACCCACTTATAGTGGGGTTAACCCAGTCATTCGTGGGTTACACGCCAGGCACTGAACTTGACCCAACGCCCCCAGCAGTTTTTTCCGCTGCGGGGTTTGAGGCCAAGCGCCGAGCGGCCATCCAGAAAGCGCTGGACGCCGGCGAGGCGAGTCGAGTCGGGCGACTCCGCGCGAATGGGGCGAGTCGGGCGAAGAGCTGACACCACAAGGAGCAAAGAGCAAGACTTGGAGGTTTGAAATCATCCGCCAGTGGAGGAAACTGGAAAAGGAGGGAAGGGAATGGGGGACGGGAGGTGGCTGGGTTTGGCTCGGGGTTGGGGAGGGGTGAAGGGGGTTTAGAGTCTTAAGATCTACGTATTCCCATTGAAACCATGACCATAGCCCGATTTGGAGTTCTGTGAACAGAAGTCCACAACCCCAATTTCATTTCGCCTCCCCAAGCCCAGTTCAAACGGGTAGGAAGCTGGCTGTTCCACATGGCTGCCAGGAGATCCCGCCAGAGCTTCTGAAGCAAGAAGGTGGAGGGTGCCCGTCGCATGTTTTCCGATCAGCTTACCTTCGCGTAGCGGTGAGGGTGCAGCGAAGTGGTGAGCTCAAGTTGCAGAAAGGAGCACAGAGGTTTCCTTTTGAAGGATGCGGAGGTGGCCCGTTGGTTGAGAAGACCCATGTGGCTGTGTCTTTTTTTCGGGGCTCCCTTTTGGAGCAAAGGGAAAGGAAGTCGCCCACTTGGGGGCTCCCAGTCCTGGTTTGCGGACCAAGTTGGTTCTATTCTAAGGGTTGTTTCCGCATTTGGGGGGGGGGTTGGCCCCCACTTGAATCGCAGTTGTTCTAAGGGTTGATCCCTTGTCCATTCTTTTCAACCATCGTTCTTCTCAAATACCGGCGGTTTCCCTGGGTTTCCGGAGGTTTTCTAGAAGGACCCCTGAATGGAAATGGCAGGTGGCACTAGATCTGTAGGTTCACACCTTCAGGCTGGACGCCTAAACCGCAAAACCGGAAGCCGCACTCGGCCAGGCCAGCTGCCAGCGAGGCAGACAGTAGGGACACGGTGGAGAGGATGGCCGACCAGCTGCAGGATCTCGGTCGGCCAATATGGCTGTGGTTGTCAAAACCGTGGTGGTTGATCCCATTTTGGTAGGTGAATTCACCACCCACTTTAGAACCTATTTTAGTGGGGATTTTGATGTTCACTATATAGGGGTACGGGATCTTGAATGGCCATGGTTAGCCACCTATAACCCACTTGTAGCGGGGTTAACCCAGTCATTAGTGGGTGGAAAGCCAGGTGGCTAACCGCTCACTAATTTGACTGAACACCCAATTATGCCCGGGCAGAAAAAAGCCGCGCGTGCCAAGACTCGTCTGCGGATTTGGTTACTGCCCCTGCATTGGGCTGGGCTCCATTCAACAATGCTTGTATTTCTTTCAGTTTGAAGGGCCTGGACGTGACATTTGTTGGGTCCAGAATATTGTGTTCATCCCTTTCGCTTTTTGGCTCATCCCCCTTGGCTTCGGTTCCACCTTGGGCTCCGCTGGGATCTCAGGAGCTCGAGGACAAGAACCAAGAGTGCGGAACCCGATGGGGCCGAGCCTGGGAGTTTGGATCGCAGAAGGCCTCCTTTTGGTCGGAGTCCTTTTTGGGGTGACGCTTGTTTCCCCATCAGGGTGGGATCGACCCCACTTTTGTGATACGGGAGTTTTGGGGTGATGCTTGTTTCCGAACCAGGGTTGTGGGATCGAGGGGTGTATCCCCACTTCTGTGATAAGGGATTATCCCCCTTTGTATGGCAGGTTTGTCTTTGGGAAGCCCTTTTTGTTGCATCACAGAAGTGGTCATTTCCCACAGCCCTGTTCCCCACTGTTTTCGCGTTTTTGTGTGTGTTGGGGGGGGGGGATTGGAGCATCGCCTTTCGTTTAGAAATAAGGTAAGTTTCGCTTTGGGGTGATGTTTGCAGGGGATGTTTTAGGACCGTCAGGCCTGGTCCGAAAGCACTTTGGGGACAGATTCGGCCAGCGCGTGGCCACTGGCGAGTAGCTGGTGTTTGCGGCTCAGGCTGGAAAAAAGACTAGAGGACATGGAAAACCAGTCCAAGTCGCTGGTGGCAGGATGCTCAGACACCTCTCGTTCGGCAAGTTCACAGCATCAGCCCACTTTTGGTGGCTGGGGTCTCCAAACTGGAAAGTTACGTATGTTTTGGGGCAGACAGAGGCATGAAGCAGAATCTGAACATCATTCTTGGCCACCATCCCCAAATACTGGCAACATTGCTGGTAGTCGAAGGGCATGACCAGCCAAATGTCCTGCACAAGCGCAGAAACCAGCCGATTTTCCAGGGGAGCGAGCGATTTTGTGCGGTTGTTTCCCTCTGTGGGAGGGGATACGATGTTGAAGGGCGAAGAGGGCGCAAGCATTCTTCAGATGAGCCGAGCCGATCGCGACTTTGTGAGTTTCCGGCCCAATCCCCTGGGCCTTTGAGCTTCACGCGAGGAGGTTTCCGGGTATGTGAGCGGAGTGAGCGGAGAACCCCATAGCGCGGGGTCTCAAGAGAACTGCCACTATGTGGCTGTGGGTCAAAACCAATGGGATCCCATTTTGGGGTAGGTGCATTACTCATTTTAGTGGGGATTGGGATGTTCACTGAGGGTACAGGGTTTTGACCCATGGCCATGTGTGATTTCCTTCCGGTTTACCTTGACACCAACCCCAAGGGTGCCCACCAAGAAAGAGACCCTCATCCAAAAGGACCCCCGTTGAAAGACGCGGCGAGAGCCGGCTGACCTCAGGATGAGCGAGACAAGCTACAGGAAGATTTGGACGATGCAACCGACAAGACCGGCGGGGTGTCTTTGCGCATGTCCCCATGTGTGTGTGTGTGAGTTTGTTTGTTTGTTTGTTTGTTTGTTTGTTTGTGTGTTTGTTTGTTTGTTTGTTTGTTTGTTTGTTTGTTTGTTTGTTTGTTTGTTTGTTTGTTTGTTTGTTTGTTTGTGTTTGAGTTTGTGGTTGAGTGTTCTTGTCGGTGTTCGTGTTTGTGTTCGTGTTTATGTTTGCGTCTGTGTGTGTGTGTGTGTGTCCCCGTTTGTTCTTTTTGCGGGCACCCCTTGTTGCAACGCGCCCGGGGAGACTACGGGACTGCCACGACGGGTCCCTGCAGGAAAACGTACAGCGGAGCCCACGTTGATATCCCAGAGAACAACGGAGCCCACCACAGTTGGTACCCCGAAACAAGGAGACTCTGAGAACAATCAGGCCCCAGATCATAAGGTGACTGTCCTTTGCCGTCAGGTTTAATTTGCTAACCCCAGCAGACCGATCTGAGCTATAAACATGGCCGACGTTGCCATTTGGGGTCTTGAGGCAAATGAAGTGACCATGCGAGCGCAGGATAGAATACATGGAGGAAGCCGAGGAGAGGTGGCGAGACAAGGTTGCCAAGGCGCGGCATGCGGATTTTGCCGAGTTTACACGTCATGCGTCTTGTTTTGTTGAAGGATTCCTGCCAAGCGTCAACAAAAGCAGGGCCAACCTTAGACGTGGAATTGCAGCAGATAGATGTAGCTGGGGGAACGGATTTGTTGGTACAGTAGTTCTTCTGTGACCCATGTGACTTGAGCAGTCAGATTCATCCGGAGGACCATACGAATCAGAGGATTTTTCCTGAGATGAGTTGACTCCCTCCACAGAAAATTCCCAGATTGGCGTGGTTCGGATCAAAACATCTAGCGACCTCACGGCGGATGCCTTGCCCCATCGCGGGTTCAGGCCAGGATCGAGAACGATCGCATCTTGCAGGACTGCCGCGTGACGCCAGAAGTTTTGTCCCCTACTCGGTTGCCCAGTGGTGCCATTTCTTTCTTCTCCTTCTTGTTGGGTAAGGGTTCCCTTTTAAACTCGGCAAAACAACTACGATGCCCTTGTTTTTCCCCGTGGCCACTGGGCAAGTCAATACAGCATACGCCTATGTTTTATATTGAACCCACATGCACTTTGGACCCCTTTGGGGCCCGGCTTGGGATAATACAGCTGCAATCAGCACTTAACTCACCGATAAACTAGGGGTCGACAGTTGGGTGCTCGGCCAAGTTAGTAAGTGGTTAGCCACCTGAGCTAAAACCCACTTATGGTGGGGTTAACCCCAGTCATTAGTGGGTTTTATACGCCAGGTGGCTAACAGCGTACACATTCAAGCCGGGTGTGTCGTTTTGCCCCATGCCAGCTTCTCCCTTTCGCATTGGCTCCCAGTCCGAAGCTTCTCACCAGTCTGGGGTCAGCCTTTCGGAGCTACCGATCGGAGTTCTGGAAGAACATGGTGCCGCAGGAGTCCTTTTGATCAGTTAGTTGGCTCTGGGTCAAAACCCAACTAAAACATCAAGATAGCTGGTAAATGGATGTTCATCCACCCCAAAATGGGATCGCCATAGGTTCTGCCCCATGGCCAGTTCTCTTAGACATGGGTTCCGCAGGACCAGTGAAGCCCATCTAATTATTTTTCCATCACTCCTGACAAGAGCCGGACATGTTGTTCCCTTTAAAACATAAAATAATGCCCTCCAACCCGGCAACCCAAAACCAAAGCCCCAAAAAGGGCTTCTTCTCCGCCCGCCAGCCGCTGGATCTCAGTCAGGACTTGGAGCGCGCCAGCTTTGTGAGCTCCGACAGAGAGGGGGGCCTCATCGCCTCTCTGCTGGCCGGGGGCCCCAGGAAAAGACAGACAAAGCGGTGAGTCTCCAGGAGTCAGATAGGGGGTGGCTGGGTTTTGGTGTTGCTGTTCCCCAGGCCCCAAAGCCAAGATGCAACCTGAAAGAGTCCCTGGTTGAGGAACATGGCCTTGCACGGGAAATCCCTTTGCCTGTTTTTGGGAGTGTAAACCCTAGGTTCATCTCTGGGGGGGAATCCTGGGTATCTGCAACTACCTTGGGGAAATCAAACAAGGCGGTGTGTCTCGGTGACTTTGCAACAAAGGAAATCTACCCTATTTAGCATCTGAGGCGAGGTGAGAGTGCATGCAGGATGTAGTGCGACCCTCCTGCAGCAACCTGTTTGCTTGCAAGCACCAGATGCGAGGCTAAGGCTTCTACCTTCAGCATGGAGCAACTATCAAAATACCTCCCACCAACAACACTCTTTGAGGAAACCGCAAAACTCTTTGTTAGTTTTCATCCACGGGTATTTTTCAGTAAGCCGATGCGTAGTAAATGGGTATAAAATGCTGGTTTTCCTTTTGGCTTCCTTTAACCAATCTGAACAGGGGGCCCTTGAGCAGGAAGCCCCAATTGGTGGCTTTTGGGCTAAAGTGTTAACCGCAGGTGGTCGCTTGTCTTGACTCTTTGTAAGTGTCCACTTGGGCCACCATTTTGGCTCAAGTGGGCACTTCCCTTCTGTCTTGGAATCTGAAACTTCTCATTCCCCTCCTATCAAAGCCATGTACGCCCCCGCCTATGCTGGTGCCGCGGTTGCAGAGGCTAAGGCGAAGGCAAAGGCATCCATGGCGAAGTACCTGGCAAGCCTTGTGAAAAAGGAGGAAGAAGGTTGGACCGTCCTGGCGGCTGAGGTCCCTCAGGCACCGGACGAACGGTTCTTCTCCAGCGCCGACGAGCTGGAGCAAGCCCCACTCATCCCAGCCAAGCGTAAGGCCGAGGACGAGCTGATGGCGGACTCCTCCCCTGGGGTGGCGCAGGTGCCGAAGGCCCTGACACGCCCCCCAGGGGCGTTCCTGGAGCTTCTCGACCCTCCAGAGCCGGATGTTCCCATGGAGGAACTCCTGGCGGAAGACGAGGAGGAGCCCCCGATGGAGGAACCCCTGGCGGAAGATGAGGTGGACCCCCCGATGTCCGACACCAAGTGGCAGGGACGCCAGGACCTGATGGAAAAGGCCAGGGCGCAGGCGTCCTCGGAGGGGGATGAGGACCCCGCAGCCCCCCCGCCAGGGGGAAGCGTCTTCACCAAGGCCCTCAAAGTCTCTGAGGGCCTTTACCAATTCAGTGCGGACCAGATGGCGGGCGACTTCCCGTGTTTTGATGCGACCACGGCCACCAGCCGCCGACTGCAGGCCAAGGATGTCCAGCGGCTCCTGAGAGGCTTTGAGGGCCCCCAACTCAAGCAGGGGGGCCTGGAGCGCGTGGTGGAGGCGTTCTACATCGCCAAGATGAAGTATGAGCATGAGGCCCTGCTCAGCACCCCGGGACAGAAGGTTGGCAAGCGCGCTGGCCTGGGGTATGGGGCCTGGAGAACCGCCCCCTGGGTAAGGAGCCCACATCCTGGATCTGCCCCTGCTGCACCATGCCCTGGGTGAAGAAGGGCGCCAGGAAGTGTATGGGGTGCGGCAAAAAGACGGAGCCCATCGACACGGCGTCCAACTTGGCCACCCTGGAAATGGCGGGCACGCACTGGCAGCTGACAGTGGATGACCAGGGCAATGCGGTCTGGACGGCGGCCCGGTCCGCAGGTGCCGATGGCCCTGATACGGACCGGGCCCGCGACCTCAAGCTCAGCGCCTCGGTGGATGTCAGCGAGCTGGCCACCGACCCGATGGCATGCGAGAACCTGGACCAGGCCAGCTTCTCGGATTTTGTCCCCTCCTCGGTCCGGGCGGTGATCAGGAACTGCCCCATGGAGCTGGACGAGGATTTCCTGACGGCCCCAATGGGGGAAAGGCCCCCGTTGCCGGGCGACAAGGAAGAGGGCCAGGAGTGCAGGGCCTTCCACCCGTCGGCAGTGAAGGCCTTCAAAATCCAGACCCGGCTCAACGCCACCACCATCGCCCAGGAGGAGGCCAAGAAGGCAGACCAGGTGGCAGCGGTGGAGCGATCCGCGGCGGTCCTCCACGAGCTTCAAGGAGGGGCCATCGATGGAGGAGGCGATGGGGGCCAACTCCTCAAGAATTTGGACTTGGACCTCTTCCGCGAGAAACTGCTGGATAAGCTGGGCGCGGACTGGGGGAGGCCCACACCGGAGCTCCTCCAGGCCCAGACCACTGCGGAAGAGGCGAAGGCAAAGCACCAGGCCAGACAAGCGAAGGGCGCCCTCGAGACCAGAATGCTCGAGCCCATCAAGCCTCCATTCAGTGCGTGGCCTAGCGAGGTCCGAGTTGCCATTGAGACAGGGGTCTTTGAGCCGACCACGGCATGGAGGGATTTCAGCATGGACGACCTCACGTCCCTCACGGACTCTTACCTCGAAGCCAAGGCGGTCATCTCGCTGGGTAGGAACCCCTTTCCGGCGGCCCTCCTGGCAGATCTGCCGGATCTGGCGGGGATCCCCATTCCAAAGGCGGGGGGCTCTGGTGCGGCGCGCCCAGGTGCCGAGGGCCCTGACAGGCAGCCCACCATCCCCCCAGCTTCGGGCTCTGGTGCGACGAGCTCAGGTGCCGAGGGCCCTGACAAGCCGTCCGCCACCCCGGGGGGCCTGGACACCCAGGACCCGGAGGTGCAGCTCGCGGTCCTGCGCTGGATGATGAGCAAGCGTGTCGGAGAGGTCCGCATCTTTGCGGGCCGCTGGGTCCGACGACCGGGGCCCGTACACGTCCCGGACTGGGCCAACAACCTCACCAAGGTGAATCCGGAGGCGCTGGAAAAGGGTACGCATCCCAGGAACCACCAGGCGGGTGGACTCCCATGGGCCAGGTACTCCGTTGAGGAGCTGAACCAGCAGGCCAAGGCGGGGGACCGACCATACCCCGAGGACCTGCGATCCATCTTCTGGGCGGCCCCCCACGATCCGGAGGAGGACTTCCACTGGGCGCGCCAGATCTCGTCCTGGACACTCCCAGGCTTGCTGGGGATGTTTGGTCACAGCTTCACTCTGCGCCAGCTCTGGGGAGTCTGGGAGTCCCTGCCATTGCTTCAGGGCCCTAGACAGCGGGGCCCGAAGAACAAGGCCCAGAATCAGATCCGCCTGGAAGGCTGGGAGACCCTGAAGGAAGATGCTCGGTGCTTCCTGAAGGAGGAGGGCCTTCCGCTTCCGCAGACAGGACCGGAGTGGCGCCTGGTCTACCGGGCCATGGGCAAGGTCCTTGCGGCCCGGGCCTTCCTCACGGACACCCCGGCGGAGGTAATGCAGCTCCCGGTCCAGGACGTGGCGGACTCCAAGGAACAGATGATCCTCCGGGCGGTATGTGATGAGCGCATATCTGTCCCGGTGGAGAGTCTCCAGCAGTTCCCAGAGGTGTACCAGGCCCTCATGGACCGCATTGGAGGCCCGGGGGCCCTGGCGGAGGTGAAAGTCAACTGGCGCTGCAACACGAAGCAGTGGTGGGTCGGCGCAGTCCCCGACTCAGTGGCCCCCTCCATCTACCGCAAGCTCGGCTACACCAACGACATGATCAAGCTGATGGGCCTGGACCCCTCCGCCCCCGGGTGCCGGACAGGTGCCGATGGCCCTGACATCCGCCCCAGGGGAGGAGAGGGCGATGAGGGGATCGTCTACCCCCCCATCACATCGGACAACGTCCACGGCGTGGTGGGCAAGGATTACAAGAAGAAGAACTTCTCGGCAGAGACGAAGCACGTCTTCTGGGCGCACATGGAGTGCGGCCTGGTTCTGAGCTCAGTCACCCCATGGGAGCTCATCCCCAAGACGAAGGGGGAGACCCGGGGGGGCTATATGTGCAAGTACTGCAAGGGGTACTGGCGCGCCGGGGGAGGGGGCACTCGCCTCCTCCAGATCCGGGCCGGCAAGGCCATCCTTCAGCTGGTGCTGGACGAGCCGCCCGATGGACTGTACAACCGCTGGGTCAAGGAACGGCTGGAGTTCTACCGCCGGGTAGAGCCGTCTGCCCCGCTGCGGGATGTCTCCGTGGTGGACCAGAAAGTCCCACGGTTTAGGTTCAGCCACGTCACCCAGACCGGCCATGTTTCAGATGCCATCTGGGAGCTGATTCTCCGGAACCCGGAGGCGGCGGCGCTCAAGCGCATTGACGACATTGCCAAGGGGGCCGTGTGATCATGCAGCACTGCGGCCATCCGGAACGGACTCGCAGGGCACCCCGGGGGAGGACAGCTGCCGATGGCGCTGATATCCCCCCCGGGCACAGCACAGGCCTTGACCTGTACCAGGCGAGAAAAATGGGCGCGCTTGGGCTGGTCCGGAGTGCGCCTGGGCTCCCCCCCTCGTTTGGTTTTTCCCTTTCCGTGGAGGCTCCCCGGGTCCCCCCCCCCCCGTTTTCGGGTTTGGCTTTCCGGGGTTTTGGGGCCCCCCCTGTTGTTGGGTTGGGGTTGGCGCCTAGAGATTTGGCTCCGGGCTCGAGTGGATCATGATGATGTGGAGGCCCCGCCTCCCTTCCCCGTTTGGAACGACCTTCCTAGGGGCCCAACCGCGGTCCAGTTGATTTTGCATGACCTTGGATTTGCACCAGTGCAGTCGGACGGGGAAATCCTCGTGGCGTGCTGCCTGGAATGGGTCAAAAAGGACCAGGTTGCCAACCCGGATGCGGTGGTCTTCGACCCGCGACCGTGGACACGAATCGTGGGGATGGCACCCGACGATAACCATGTCCTGGTGGCCTCGGACACCTACAACTTGATCCTCGCAAGGATACTCGGCTCCCAACCACAACCGCTGGAGGAGGCGGATTTGGAGCTCGCTACTAAGACCCTGCAACAACTTCTGTTTCGTGCGGCAGGCGCCAGACAATCGCACACCTATTCTCCACTGGAAATGGAACAGGCCATCCGGGACCGTGAGGAGTGG